GGGGTAAGAGGCTATGGTGGGTGGAGATGGGTGTTCATTCTAGGTGAGCCTTAGGCCGTGTATCGATCTGATAGTAAGAGCTGAGTAAGGTCATCCACCCAGAGGGCCTTGCCACGGCTCTTTTTGGCATTGCATGGTTCTTTTTACTACCTGACTTTCCGGAAGAGGCGAAGTTCCTTAGCCAGGAGGAACGCGACTTTGTCAAGAAGCGTCTGGCCGCCGATGTTGGTGCCTCCGCTCATCAAGAGAAGGCAACGTGGCGCGACATTTTGGCCGTTTTCAAAGACTGTCAGTGTTTGTGGGCACTATTTCTTTCGAAAATTGCTTATTCGTCGATAACCAGACAAGATTATCATTGGAGGCTTCGCATATTTCGGACTCATCGTGCCGGCATACGGGTATGCTTATTTTGCACCAACTATCATCAATCAATTGGGATATGGAGGTGCGCTTTTTGATGCTCTCAGGCCTACCCTTTTTGATCATGTCCTGTTCACTAGCTATCCAATCTCAGCTACATTCTGTTCCACCATGGGCAGCTGCGTTCGGTTTTGCTATGACACTAGCTTTTATTTCTGACCGTTTACGCCACCGATGGTTCTTCACCTTCATCTCTGGCGCCGTCTGTCTTATCGGCTTCGCTGTACTGCTATCAGATCCGCCGCGGCACAGTGTCAAGTACGGGGCGCTCTTTCTCGCCGCGTCAGGTGCCTATACTTCCATGCCCATCATTGTCGGATGGTTCAACACCAACTTGGCGGGCCACACGCGGCGCTCTGTGGGTTCGGCATGGCAAGTTTCCTTTGGTAACATTGGAGGTATCATTGCCGCGTTCTCGTTTCCGACTGGGGACGGCCCAAAGTATATAAAGGGATATGCGATATGTATGGCATTTGTGTGCTTAAGCATGGCATCCAGTGCAGCTTATCTCCTCGCGCTCATATTGGACAATAGAAGCAGAGCGAGGAGCACGCAGCCGGAGGTTACAGAGAAGGAAAGGGAGAAGCTAGGGGATCTCAATCACGACTATAGATACATGTACTAAGTTATGGTCGAGTATGTATACATATGCTATCGCAACGCTTTCATTGAGCAGTTCTATTCCAAGTCTACCGCCTTTTTGGTGCCCCTTGATGTTCCTAGTATCACTGCCGGCTGACGACACGCGAGGGCCATCATCATTTCGTCTCTACCAAGGTTGCCCTCCCAATGTCCCTTTTCCACGTAGATACTGACCAGGTAATGCGTAATCCAATCGTTCTTCCCATTACGCGAATCCCATCAACCCGGGGAAGAGACCCTCGTTCCCATTTGTATCACTGCAGTCTGTACGCTTAGCCATGCTCACATTCTCGAACGCAATGAAAAAACATGGTGTATTTCTTTCTGCAGGCAGAGTTCAAGTGTATAGTCACGTGTAAAATATGATAATCAGTAAGTGAAAGGTAGCACAGCAATATTTCTTGCTGATACCGCGCTGCCCGGCTTGGAATCGGCATTTATAAGGGTGCTTGTACTTGCCACGAGCCGCTATGGAGGTAGAAATTTTTGGAATGACTGGTGACGACAGTTTCACTGTCAGTGGGAGTAGCCTCACTGGGAGGCGTGGTAATCTGACACTGTTCGGAGAAAAGTAGTATCAAACACTTTATAAAATAACGGGCGGTTTCACACGAACCTTATATAGCCTCTTTTTCGCTCTTTCCGGTTGAGTGACGCAATGGCTTTGACGCTGTTTCTCATCACCATCCCCCCTCCTCCTTCGCATCCCCTCTCTCCATTGACGGTAAGCACACTGCACCACACTCAACCGTTGGGTTACATCATCTACACTTGGTCTCCCCGCAGTGCACTCCATATATTACTTCACTGTACACCTCTTCTCTGACGTCGCTGCAAGCGCTACTGTCGCGTACTTCCAAATGGACATGACTGAGAGTGTTTGACAGAGGAGGTGTATACCATACCGTATAATAGTATATTTATGTCTTTCGTTGGAATACCTTCATGCGCGGCGTATTTACTCACTTGCTCCATGTCCCTCACGAGTTCCAACACTTCATCTTCATCGCTGTCATTACAGAACCATTTCTTCCTGGCTCTGACATCAGTTCTCGCAATTTCACAAAAAGGATTCCCGGAGGCCGAAGGCCAGAGGGAAACTCTTGTACTCTTTAACTATATACACGATCACGTGACAACATAGTAACTGTCAGTCCGGCCTTTGGAAGTTGGGAGTACAATCTGCAACACATTCAGAACATGCCATGCCTACTACCCTACATAGAGATAATTCAGGGTGTACGAGAGGCAAGCCTATGATGCTTCCAGTCGATAAAGCCTAATTACGCCACATTCACTCTGAAAAACTTGTCCGTGGAGCTTACTTTGGGTTCAGTATGTTCCCCAATTTTATGGAGACGATAACAAAATTTCCCTCCCCAACAAGATAGTATAACCCCAACTCACGATGCCCGAGTTATGTAGCCCTCCATTCAAGACTTCAGCGCTTCAGCGCTCTTCCATCCTCGACCGCAGGTCCCCGGCAGTTCATGATAACTCCGACGTCCCCGAGCATTTCCTTTCGCAGCTCATTATTATTAGATTGTATTTAGTTGATTGTCGAGTACACGGACTTATCGTCGAGTATGCAGCAGCTCGGTCCGAAAGGAGTCGGTGATTATAAGACGCGGACATACGGTAAATTCTTCGACTCGGGGATCACCCATCATTGATTGTCTGTTGGGTTACGATATACCGACGCTATGTAAGGAGAAGCAGGAAATAGCTGCTCCACTGACAATTTCTGGTGGTACGATTTAGAACTGTGGATAGATATTTCCTTAGCTTGGGGTGAGTAGAATGGCTAGGAGAAATTAATTTACTCTTAGTGAAATTCTAGGCTATGCGCTTAACGCCATAGGCCGACGTTGTTCCAAGGCGCAAGATATCAGCTCCGGGCCGTCTATCATTGTATTTATATATAGTTGCCGTCCGAGGATACGGCGATCTGTTCGCGAAATTCAGATTTAGCAAGCCAGCGTGAGATCTGCATAAGCAAGGACGTACCAGCAGAGAAAAAGAGAATGAATTCGAGTGATGGGACCCCTTACGAGAGAAAAGAAAGACAAAGAGAGGTGATGATCGGTAATTGCCGTAACTCGACAGTTGATCCAGTTGACTGTTCTATCATGAATTCTCACCAACTGAATCATGCCCAGCAACCACATGCGCAGCTGCTTCACCAATGACCACCAAGACCACCAAGCGCTCTAAGCTCTTCCCTCTCTTCACCACGCCTGCCCTCAAGTTCAAATTCGCCATTCGTTTCAATCTCGCTCATTCCTCGAAGCAAAAATCGCCCTCAAGGACATGTCCACCCAAGCCGGCTTCACCTACGCAGGCACCGGAATTGTCGTCTGGGACTGTGCTGGGCCGTGGGTCTGAGTACACGTTGGTACGGCCCCTGGGGAATGGGGGGTTCTCGACGGTGTGGTTGGCACAGACGGATAGTAAAGAGGACGACGTCGATGTCGACGACGGTGCCTCCTTCCATACAGCCTTGACATATCTCTCGCCGCCTGCATCGAATCTCGTCGCCATCAAGGTCCTCACGACAGCGGGCGAACGGACTCGCGAATTGTCAAAGCATCTACGACTGGATCACCCGCCAGACCAGCTCGTCAAACTGCTCGACCATTTCACTTTCGGTGAGCGACAACGGAGCAGACGAGTCTCCTTGCCTGCAGCGCTACCTGTTCGCCCCAGTACCCGCCCCATTTCCGTCGACATGTCTTGTACTTTCCCTTCACGGCCCAACCCTCAGCGATCTCAGGCAGCACCTTGGTAGTCGCTGGCTACCGTTACCCATCGTCGAGACGCATCACAAACGACGTCTTGGCCGCACTCGACTTTCTTCATTCCCAACATCTCATTCACACCGACGTCCAGCCACGAAATATCCTCCTGTCCCTACCCGATGCCCTCTCTCTCGACCAATCAGAGTGGAGATTCGTCCTAGCAGACCTAGGCCACGCCGTCCAGCTTCCTCACAAACGCCACCCTTCATCGAACGTTCAGCCACATGCCCTTCGCGCACCCGAAGTTATTTTGGGTTTGAATTGGGATGAGAAGATCGACATCTGGAATTTAGGTTGCCTGGTGTACGAGTTTGCCACGGGTGGACCACTTTTTGACCCGTTCTTCCAACCCACGCCAGACTACGAGGCTATGACCCCCGCTCAGATACACCTGCTGCAGATTATCGAGCAGGTTGGGGAGGTTCCACAGTGGATGAGGGATCTTGGAACCAAGGGACGGGGTGCAGAGTTCTATGATGCAGATGGTGGGCTCTTTCTTTGATGGCCAGTCGCACTCTGCTCACGTTTATCTTCCAGGAACTTTCCAATGTCCCTTCCCACTCCAAATGACTTCTTTGGAGGCGATCGTTAAAGGCGTATGGAAATCCTCGTCGGCCGCAAGCAGTGAACGCGAACATTTCTGTGCTTTCTTGCGCACAATTGTGTGCGTCGATCCTCCAAAGCGCTTGAGTGCAAGGGAGGCGCGCTCGGAGAGTTGGATAACAACCCTGCCTGCGTATACCACTAATTTAATACCGTCCTAATACCGTGCTGTCGCATCTACTCTTAGATCTCTTTTTCTGTGGAATCATCTAGTGGTTAACTGTAGTTTTTGTATTGCTGTGCATAGTAGGTGTAAATATACCGTAGACGCTATCAGACAGTTGGTATAATCCAGCATGTGAGGTATCGTTGGACGTTCGGGAGACTTGCGATTATGCGATATTCCGAGAGCCAAAACAAGACATTCCCTATACCTACTCGGTATATGTGAAAGCCTGGATCGTCGTCTTGGCCGAAACCACTAGTACTTTTTTCAGCTTTCAGTACTAGTTAGTAACGAGTTTCTAAGACTAGTCACTAAGTTTTAAAAAGATTAACTTTTAAATAGAAAACAAAATCAAGATCAAAGTATCTCGATGCATTAAGAGGGAATCGAACCCCCGGCGGGTCGATAACTACGATAGCATATTACCCCGATGGCAACGACCCAGGTTACCACTACCCCATTAATGCAGCATTGTTTGTCCCGCCTATGCAATAGCAACAGGCCTACGACGCGACCCATCAGTTAATACCCAGACACTTGGTTAAGCCCCAAGTTTAGCGCAAGCTCTTTGGCCGATTCTGACAATGATACGGGCATCTGTACAAGCTGATGTTCCTCCATACTCTCTCCAAGCCTCCGCGAAATCCACCGCCGGTTTGAGGCAGGAAGATCCTGAAGACATGCTCACAGGTGAGTGCTGGATTGTATTCAGTCTGCACGCGATTATCGGAATGGACGAGGAAGGCTGAAGCTGGCATATTCAAAGTTTGCTCCTCTGGATGGGAGCAAGCCGTTTCGAGGACAGGTCTACGTCGTTGAAGGCTTCGAGAAGATTGATAGACGGGGGAGTCTCCTCGGAGGTGTGTCAATTTTCTATGTTTCCAGCGTACTCAATTTAAGGGAACTAGGACAGAAATGCAAGGCAACAAATACATTCTTTTCTTCGCAATAATCATGGTGACCATTCTCTCACCATTATGGCGGTTCAGTATCGTACGGCTTAGCCTGGATGGACCAACAATTCGCCAGCCAGATCAGCATCCTCTGCGCTGTAATGTTACGCAGCTCAGTATCCGCCACCTCTTGCTCATGAGCATAGAGAACTTCATCGTCGTCGCTGTCCGAGAACGCACCGTCATCATCAGTCTCCGTATCATCATCGTATTCATCATCATCATTTTCTTCTTCTTCATCTTCGCCCGAACGCACACGCTTCCTGCTCCCTTCCTGCTGCCTTGTCTTTCTCCTTTTCGGCGGCGGCTTACCCACCACATCTTTTATGACATGGAAAAACTCGGTGGTGCCAAAACAGTGGGTGAAAGAGATGATCGCTCGCAAATCGTGAAGCTGGGAATTCCTGGGGTCTCTGATCTTCCTGGGATTTCGTTCACCTCGGTAGGCATCGCGTTCTGCCGGTACCATTTGTGGATCCCACCCATATGTCCGGAACACAGGGCACGGTTTGCTATAAGTCCAAAAGACTTCCTATTGATCGCGGGTCAATATCTGAAGAGACACTGACGCCGGAAAGATGCTTACTCCTCGATAGATTAACCACCAATATCTTTGGTAGGTCTCGTGGAACTGCCTTTCCAGCGCCATGCTATTTGTGTGCGTTTCCACCAAGGGCAGCGATGCTAGTGCATCATGAAAAGACAGTTTTTTCGGTATGGGATACCGGACATCTAAAAAACCAGGCTCAGCTGGCGATCTAGGACAGGATATGTTGCTGATGGCATTTGAGAGTTTCGCTAATAATTCATATGCTTGGTCGTTTTGTCCGCATTCGATGATGTGGCATGCGATTGGTGATAGGCATGCTGTGAAGGGGCAGCGAGCTATAGCATTTGGATTATATCGTTTAATATGAGTAACCCACTATAAGATCAAGACTTCAATTACGATACCCGCGTTTGAGAAAAGTCTTACATTGCTGGGATGCTAAAGACACATAAGAAATTAGCGCCGTTTGCTATTACATGCCAGAAATTTGACTTGCATTGCTCTTATCTTCGACGGTCGATTGCATGCGAAGATTGGTTGAATTTGCGGTGGGCGGCGAGCTCCTATAAGGAATAGTTGAAAAATAGGGCATATTGAAACAATGGTACGGCGTGCACACCCCTTGACCTTGATCCATAGTACTTGCCCTGCTGGCAGTTCCTTCAGCGGCATCGAAAGTTCCTCTTGGGACAACCGACGTCCGGGTTTTTGATCATTTTCAGGGTGTTGACCATGAAAGGTGAATCGAAAGATGTTGTCTTTGCGTGGTTCTGAGTCGATATCCGAAGGGATATAGAACCCCCCCAAGGACCCGCGAGCGATGTTGAGTAGAATCTCTACTGTAAAGACCGCTCGCGTATCGAGGGGCATTGCTGACTTCTGATAGACAGGATAGGCCCCACCGGTGAAGCGTACTAGAGGAACGGCGAATATGATTAGCTTGTGGAGTTTAGTGTGCTTCCACCAGCAAACGACTTGAACGCATTTTGGATGTGGCCATACACAATGCATAGGTGAGTCCGAGTCTAAGTCTTGGTTCATGGTCACGGACTGACAGGGGCCAGTCGATCACGACGCGTTACTGCATGATATGGAAGTTTTTATTAGTCGTACTGGGTTGCTGTACATAATTAGGGATACTTACCATAGATGATAGGCCAAGTTATCGGAACTTGAATTTAGCGCGTTGTTAGCGCGCGTCGATGATAGTAGGTACTATCGTTAAAGAGAACATGATTCGCGAGTTATGCTTGCAATATTCCAAGAGCTAAGACAATTGACGAGTCATTATCCCCCTGGAGGTTTCGCAGGCCTACTGTGCAGCCTCGGTTAGGGTAGCGCACGAGACCTACATCGAGGTTAATTACCGGTAAGTTACCTACCCGCGCTGGAAGGAAAATTGTATTTGTGCTACGGCATAGCAAAGCTATCTCTCCTAGGGAAAAGTCAATAACAAGCGGTTCGTTACCGCCCGAAAGTTTTGTGCGCAACGGTCAACCCTAGAGTCTAGCTCAGTACTAAGACTTAGTTGTAAGAATGGACCAAAAACGTTGTCTGCACAGAGCATGCATTAAGAGGGTATTGAACCCCCGGCGGGTCGATACTGATGGACATTCTCTGGCAACGTTAACGACCGAGTTTACCACTGCCCCATTAATGCAGATATCGTAATCTTCAGCTTAATATGCTGAATTCAATGTCGTTGGTTGAATATTGTTAAGCTCTGTCCACAACCACTGTCCACGGGGCATGTAGCTCGAGCATTTCAATTGCCCATCGCCTCATCATGAGATTTGTCGAGGGAGGAGGGGACATCACTGTCGTTCAATCATCCGGCGCGGGATATCCCTATGTGCACAGATTCATCGTATGTAACCTGCAGAAGGGCTGAGTGCTTCGGCAGACATTAAAATTTTAAGCCAGCGAAAGTACAAATACAATTCAATCATGTACAACCATGTGAACCGAAGGGTATCATCCATATTAAATTATTAAAACGCCCAGCCATCGCCACTGTATTCCAGGTGCGATGAAAGATCATCCTTGTTGAATAAAGTGACAAGGTCTTCCTGGTAGTTAACCCAGGTCGCTGGGACAGATCCGTTCGGGGCACCATTGGTGAATGGTACGGCTGCAGATGGAGCCGGGGGCTGTATATGTGACGCAGCCGTCGCCAGGGAATACAACATGTCTGCGCCGTGTGGAATCGGACTGGTCTCTTCCTTTGGCACGCCGTCGGGAAGAGGAATCGGCTGGCGTGGACGCGGACGTTTAGCATCCTCTTGAATCGCTGACTCATCCAAACCCACTTCCTCCTGGTCTCCAGTTTCCTCAAGGCTGCCTCGGTATTTGTGCCTGTACATACCCTCCCTATCGTCGGTACTCAGGTCCTCTTCCGCAGCAGATCCGAAGCCTTCGACCTGCCGGTGCGGATTCTCATGGCGGGGCGGAAAGGCAAAAGATGCGTCCTTTAGGCTGGAATGCCATCGCTCTGCCATTGTGGGCCAGACTACCGCCAACTCCAATAGAAGTGTTAGTGCCTCCTGAATAGCAGGTCCCGAGTACTCGGCTAATGGAGGGCAAACTAGATAGATTCAGCAAAGTGAGATGATGGAAGACCGATATGCGGTGGACTCACGCCAAGTCCAACGCTTGAGGTATGATAATACAGACCCCGACATGTAAATAGCAAAGCCCTAAAGGATATGGTTAAAGGAGTGAACATCGCCTGGTACAGTAAAGACCGTACCATCATTGGCGTTGAGCCTCTAGTAAAAGGCATGGTTGGCACCCAATCTTTTACGAGTTCGATCACCTTGAGCGCATGGGCGAACATTTCGTGAACGACATTTTCCCAGAACCTCGGAGGTGCCACTTCAGACCGATAATTGGGAGGATTAATCGTTGACGCATGGACATCCCGCGCCATCATTGGTAGATATGACCGACGCAGCACGATGTGCGACAAGTGCATAATCAAAAAAATGCATCGGTAACCCTTAGAACGTTGCTCAATACAAGCACAGCAGTATTATATGAGAGACGCATACCAAGTCCAAGCTCTTGCTCTGATACGCCAGGAGATTCGACAGCGACCACGTCTGTCTATTGGTCAACTTGCTTTCCCAGTTCTGCAACTCGGTGGCCAGCTTAACGTAGTCGCTGTCACTTCTCCATGGCGCTATCGTAGGTCCAGCTTTTGATCTCAGCAGCGCGCCCCTTGCTACTCGAGCCCATATGTCCGCGATTATGACCAAGTTACCATAGAGCGACCGATCACCGCCATTAGCGTTCGTCGAGCTAGTGTCTGCAATTTCGCTGCTCAACTGTGGGTCAATGGGGAAACGGGACTGCGGCGCTAGCCGCGGTCGCGCATGGGTGCCCTCCATCACCGTCGCTGGTCCATTGTATCCAAACGTGAAATGATCCTCGTCGCAGGGTAGCGGTATCGTCACCTTGTCCAAGTCGAACGATATGGGTCGTCCGCATCCAGAGCTCAAAAGATTATCGCTCATGAAGATCACCCACCAAGTCCGCCGAGATACTTCGGCGTTGATTATCTGCTCCACGGTCGCATCAGGGCCAAGGTCGAAGGATTCTTCCTGTGAAAGACGGAGGACGGAAGCCATCCGTGCGGCTATGCCGAGAAAGATCCAGCTGCGGTCCCGAAACCCACTTCCCCAGTTCCATATGCTGCACAGGAAGAACGCCTGGGCTCGGTCAAGGGAAGCCGCGGCCAGCATCTCCTGGCCAACCAACGATTGTGCGCGCTTTGCAAAGGTATTGGCAGCATTGACCGGTGTTGAAAACCGCTGAATCAGGGTGGGAGTGAATCGCGCCGAGACTGAAAGCATCGAAAGGAGGAGAAAGGTGCTCAGAGATTGTGGGGAGGTCTGCAAAGTGTGCATAAAAGTAGGTTTGTGTAGGAAACCTGCTTGGGCATGAGCGATGAACGAGGCGGGAATTGATGTCGTACCTAGCTGAAAATAAGTTGAAAAGAACCATTCGCACGCTTCGACAAGTTCTTCGTGAGGAGGGAGCCTGAGGAAGATCAGATCAGTGGGAAGGTATGGAGATACGCAGCACGAACAGATCCTGGTGGGAAAAGGATTTCGAGGTCAACGACTGTGAACAGTTTTCACAAAACCGTTCGACAGGGCTCCTGAAGCATTTGTAAGCCTCTGCGGTGATAATATGATAGGATGATTTTCACTGAGGAGTTAGCGGTCCCGCCTTCGCGCCATCATAGCCATCGGCACGGTGTCCTCTATAGCAGAGTGAGTATCCGTTCCCATCGTGAAGGAAACAGAAGAATCGTACCCATCAAGATCCTTGGGACGTGTCTGCCGCTTTCGATTCTGTGGGGGTCGGGGCTATAAAAGGAACGAAAAAGAAGGTTAGCGCAGGCATTTGTACAGGCAGATTACAACTGACGGCTCTGTCGATGGCACTCATGCCTCGCGGCAAAAACTGGCATTCATTAGGCACGCCTGCTTCGATGCAACCGCGACATCGCCCTTTCTCTTCGTCCTTGACGCACTTTGCTCGAAGACGACGGCATCGTCTGCAAGCGACGCTCGACCGCTTCTGCTTCGGAGGTGGGACGAGAATCTCTTCGCCGAGCGAAGTAGATGCGGTCGTCGAATCTGGCTCTAGCATTCTCCCGTGGCGGTTGGTAGGTGACAACTTTGAACCTGGCAGGCAGGAACCGGCACGGCAGTTTCCTGTCGGCAATTTCGACTCAAACAGGGTTGAAAATGGCGGCCTTTTGCTTCAGCGCAAGGATGGCCGTCGTAGGACAAGATACGGAGCCAAAGGGCGCAGGGGAGGTGGTGGTATGAGGGCGAAAGCAATTGCCGCCGGCAAACGTGACGTTCTTATTGACTTTGAACTTTGTTATTCAAGTTCGCTGAAAATCTGTCCCGTTCCTCACTTCTGAAGGACATATTATTGCGCTCGGGCATGTCTTGCGCTCATGCACAATCGCTCTAATCCTATACATCCCTGTTCCTGTGAAGTATCGAATATACCATAAATGGCTAGGTCAGGCTCCTCATCTGAAAAATCGTATACACTTTGAACGGCCCGGACAAAATGGGGGATCCTTTTCTCCGTAAACAGTATGGTTCAGGGTGCAGAATCCGAGGCCGCGAGGACTTGATGATAGGGTCGTACATTATGGAATGAAAAGCGGTGAAACAGCGTGACTGTCGGGAAAGTGATAGCGCCTTTGACATCTCCATTGCTGTTAGTGTAAAGGCAATGCGCTGGTGGCAGTCAGCTTGCTGGATGATGAAGAATGACGGGTAGAGCGGGAGGTCTTGGGAAAGCCGACATATCTTCGCCCTCTGGACCCTACAATATTTTCAAAGGTTTAGGGTCTGACGAATACTCCAATCCGATGTACACGCTCCAGAAATAAGACAGGTTTATTTTTTGTAATATTGTTGTTGACATGAGTGTAATCAATGTTCCTGTCAACCTCAATGATTTTTGGGTTCTTCGGCCCTTACTATTTTATTGTCAAAAAAGTCAATCGCAGTATCTCGCGTTATCCGAATAAGCTCGCTCCCGCGAAGCGTCGACGCGTCGCGTTACGAAAGCCACTGTCGATGTATGATCGATCGATTCGTAAATCAAAAGAACTTCCAATTGTCACTCGAGTTCAAGCACCGACATTCTACCTGTGCCGACGGCCCCCACCTTCCACATAGAGTGGGCTCGGATACCGGCCAGCTCGGAGGATTGGGACCAATCTAGAAATATATCCAAGGTCAGCCAAGAGGGCTTTTGGAAGTTGTAACGATATGAACTCGAACTTAGTAGTCTTTCATGCGACGAAAAGTACGCGGCAGGAGACATGCACCTGATTCATCGTGGCTGAAAACGCTTAGAGGTGTTTAGTAGACGCCCGTCACCCGTAGAACGAATTTCGAATCTTGTTAGCATCACTGGGACGAAATGGGTTAGGACTCAGACAGAGGAGCTTTTGAGTTGATAGAGGGGACAGAGAAACCTGCTGATGTCCTTGTTCTGGGCGTATATTCCTTAAATATGCGTACACGCCTACTTTGAATGCATACACTTGGGGCTCTTCGGACATGTTGGCCTACCCAAACGATTCGGCACCAGTCTTCAATCCTTCTTTTTGCCCTGCATCGCAATTTTTGTCTGCCCGCTCTGCCTCGGTCCGCCTGTTCTCTTTGTCAGACTCGGAGATTCTGACAAAAAGGCGGAGAACTGGAACTCACCGAAAACTGATAAGGTCAGCGGTCAACAGCGTAATCATCGTCATGACGTCGGATACGACAGAAAGGACAATGTTGCTTGAGCAGTCAATTATATGAATAACACACTGACGTATGGACAACTAGCATGACATCGGCGATACCGTCGTCGACCGCGGATATACCTGAAGACAGCCTTCGACACAGAAATCACAGAAATCCTAGCAAGGTGCTTTCGCGTAGGACGGTTCTGAGGATTGCGACAAATTTTGTGAAAGTCGGAGGGGCTAATTCCGTAAAACCAATGACCACTCCAAGGGAGCTGGCACTTTTCGTGCTCCAGTAGTAACTGCTCGGTATTTTTTAAAAGCGACAGGCTGGCCGGTTACGACAGCCAATTAAGTTGACGGCCGCTGAGAAGGAGAGGCTAGGT